ATCTGGCATTATCAGGACCACAAATATCCCCCCACTGCATTATTATACATTATATTCAACATTATATATATAGTTTAATGTAGTACTGACACTAAAACTGGAATCTTTTCTCACACCGTAATCTTTATTTTGGAAACTTCAAAATAAATAAGAGACTTATTTTGAACTATACACAAAACATATTCATGCATTTTTGTGTTGCGAGATATTGTGACACGATATATTGTTACACCCCTAAATATTAATAATGTGTTGTGTGTTCAGTTCTCCGTCAGATATTAATATTAATAATGTGTTCAGTTCTCTGCAGATATGAATATTAATGTGTTCAGTTGTCTGCAGATATGAATATTAATGTGTTGTGTTCAGTTGTCTGCAGATATGAATATTAATAATGTGTTGTGTGTTCAATTCTCCGTCAGATATGAATATGAATGATGTGTTGAGTTGTGTTGTGTGCAGATATGAATATGAATAATGTGTTGAGTTCTCTGCAGATATGAGTATTAATATGTGTTGTGTGTGTGCAGATATGAATATTAATATGTGTTGTGTGTGTGCAGATATGGTGTGTATCCCCTGTATCGTGATCCCGGTCCTGCTGTGGGTGTATAAGCGGTTCCTGGAGCCGTTCATCTATCCCTTCATCTCTCCGTTCATCTCTCGCTTCTGGAGGAGTGCAGTGAAGGAGCCGCCGCAGAAGCCCAGCGCTGTACGCGTAACACACACACACACACACACACAGGTCATCATATACTGCCAACATCAGTATCAATACTAGGGGTGACCCCGAATAGTCGAAGATTCGATGCTTCGATAGGAGGAGCCTGATTCGACTACCAATCTCACGGTCGAATCTTCGCAGATGTGTTATTAAACGAGGATTATGTCATTTTGGCTATATGAGTGTGCTCAATGTCTGATTTCACATAGAACTACTGGTTTTCTGTCAATACCTAAATATACAGCCTATTATGATAATGCCGTCAATAAAAATGTGCAAAGAAAGAAGCTTTTAATAAATATTTTTTAACGTGCGTGCAGCGTGAATAAATCCAAACACCCCGTGACAGATTTAAGTTTCACTTTCGATCCGTGACCGCCAGAGGAGCGTCTTGTCGGCAGGGATTTAAAACTTTAAAAATGTCTGGGATAAGAAAATCTAAAGATGCACACCATCAGAAAGGATATTCTCCAAGGCTGGATTTAGCATCAGGAAAACCATGATCGCACTTCTGCCGGCCAACGTTAACAGGTTGGTTTTCCTCGAGACGTTCTGAAACGCTTAAAAGCTTATAAAACGCTTAAATGGCACTTTTACGTGCTTAATGCATGTACACAGTAGGCTACACACCTTAAGAAACCATTCTATGTGCAGATAAGCAGATGAACCCAGAATATGAACGCAACGCGTTTCTCCTATAGAAAGTCACGTAAAGCGTTCTCTTTAACGGTTTTCTGTGGGAGGAAAATGCTTAACGTAGCCTATAATAAAACTCGTTGCGTTCATATTCTGGGCTCATCTGCTTTTCTGTAGGCTATATAGTATGCTTTATTAATAAGGTCTGTACAGAATTTGATCTTTTAATATAACAGTTTTAGGACATTAAGCCGTTAAGCGTTTTTCACGTTAAGCGTTTAAGAATGTATTTTATCCGCGCACACAATTTGAAAAGACTCAAACGGACACAGGCCGAGTTAAAGACTGGATTTTGTTTTCTCGATCAGGTATGGGTACAAGTGATTTCAAAACATTTCAGCCGGTTCTAATTTGATTTTTGGATACTGTGAACACGTTTAGCTAAAAAGACTGCCGCTCCAGTTTAGCGTCTATTGTTTCTGCAGTTAAAAAGACAAAGTTGACAATCCTGGCCATACTTTCGTTATTTTAATAATTTCTTTATTTTTATTTGATTAATTGATCACTCGGGGTGATCTAATTTAAGTATTTGTGACTTGTGTTTTGAATATGTGTTCCCCTGCACTTTAGGCATTTGCACACATTTGTTCTGCTTCTTGTGACTTGATTCTGACTTATTTCGTTTTGTATTTTTATTTATTATAAATGTATATTATGTTCTTAATTGTTGATTATTTTTCTACTTAGAGCATGCTCGTACAGGCAATTCAGCCGATTTAATTTGATTTGCATGTGAAATGCAAATCCTATCTGCAGTGTGGCCTTTCTGCAGTTATTTATGTTATTTCTTAGTTTTATTGATCCAAAATGTTTTTATACATTTTCTTCTATATCTTTGTGTGATGTTCTGTAGATCGCGGCTTTAAAATGTTAAAGCCCCGCCCCCTCCCCAACACCACACATGATTCGACTATTAGTCGACTATAGGCAGGACTTGACAAATCTGATTCGACTATGAAAATCCTTAGTCGGGGACACCCCTAATCAATACAGTGTGGAGCGCATTTTAGACTCTTCAAGGAATAATTCACCCAAAAACATAACTTATTATTTACTCTCGTCATTTCAAACGTATAGGTTGCACTTTATTTTACAGTTCATGCATTTACATTAAAGGTTATATAAGGTAAATACGTGGTTAAGGTTTAGGGGTACAGTAGCGTCAGGATTATTACCCAGTTATTGTCATCATTACTATAACAAGTACAGGTGAAACTGGATATCAAACTAGAATATGGTGCAAAAGTTCATTTATTTCAGTGATTCAACTTAAAAGGTGAAACTAATATATTATATAGACTCATTACATGCAAAGTGAGATATTTCAAGCCTTTATTTGTTTATAATTGTGATGATTATGGCTTACAGATATGAAAACCTTTTCACAATATTCTAAATTTGACTTTGGGGTTTTCATAAGCTGTAAGCCATAATCATCACAATTATAACAAATAAAGGCTTGAAATATCTCTCTTTGAGTCTATATAATATATTAGTTTCACCTGTTAAGTTGAATTACTGAAATAAATGAACTTTTGCACCATATTCTAGTGTTTCCAGTTTCACCTGTGTATCGTGGGAACAGGAGTGTACAGGTGGTAAAATAAAGTGCTAAGTTATCCGTTTATAATGTGTGAATCTGCTGAATCTGATGTTAGTTCTGGAGATCTAATCATTTTTAATTTCACTCTTTATTTGACAGGGACAGCAAAAAAATCCCCCAAAATTATAAAACCATAACAAAACACACAAGTATTCAATGATCACAAACCTGACTCCTCTTTCAAATGTGACTTAAACTGTGCAAAAGTAGGACACTGTCTAATATTAGCTGGTGAGTTATTCCGGTTATTCCAGAAACAGCTGATCATTCATGCTCTTCTTCTTCTTCTGTCCCTCAGGACGAGTGTAATGGAGCGGCGAACGGGTCCACGGCTCACGGGCCGAAGACGGTGGCCGATAAAAAAGCGGACTGACAGATCGCATGTTTCTGAAGGAGATTTACACGTACTGTAGATATGATTTAACATGTAAATTCCAGCTTTAAATGCAGCTTTACTATAGTAACTAATATATGAATACACACACGCACACACCACTCATGTCAGAAACATTACTTACATTAAATACTTTAATAATGTTTAATAGAAATGAATCTGTTTTTATCATTCCATAACACTGCTGTTCTCACTGTTGGCGTTTTATCTTCTACTCAGACTGAGTTCTGTGTATAATTTATGAGACTTCATATAAAATAAATGTTGAATTATTTTAATTGTGGCTGGTCTGTCTTTATAATAACTAATAAAACAATGCAGATGTCTGATACTAAAATGACTTGTTTTTATCACTGCCTAAAACGAGTAAAATCTACAGTTTTAAATGTTTTTCAGGGATACTCTCAAGAAATAATAGGGGGAAAAAATCACGCTTTAGTTTTAATAATATACATTTTAGCTATTTAGTATAGCTATAATATATATCATATCTATATATGATTAAATATAATACTTTTTCCTGTCTGTCTGAGTGGCAATTTTAATCTAATTTTAATAACGGACAATGTGTGGCGCATTACTCGCTTCCACCGGCAGGAGGCGCCGGAGCTCCGAGAACTGTGTTTATTCAAGCTCTGAGGAACTGACGTATGACGCCAAAATGTTCTGATGCGTCATGAATAACAGAAATCGAGGGAGACCCAGAGCGCGCGAGACTCTTGTGTTGACAACCATTTCCGGTCTGATGCTAATCCGCTATTGGTATTATATAAAGATACTTTAATTCAGCAGTGTATTTTTAGTTTGTAAGTACCGGTAAAAGTAAATCATAAAAATTATTCTTTTTAAGTCTATATCAAAATGCATATGTAACTGAAGGAGAAATGTCAATTTCTTAATTGTGACTGATAGAGAAAAGAACAGCTAGAACAAATGTCAAAATATTAACAATAACATTTTAATAATGATTTTACGGACATGTATTACAATTTGTGTGTGTGTGTGACAGTTTAAAAATATTCCCGCCATAAAAATGCGTATGTAGCTGAGAAAGAAATGTACATTTCTTAATTGACAGAAAATAACAGCAAGAACAAATGTCAAAATATAAACAGAAACATTTTAATTGTGATTTTACGGACATGTATGGCAATTTCTGTTTGACAGTTTAAAAATATTCCCGCTCTAGTCCGTTTAAATCAGAAAAGACAGTTTAAAAATATTCCCGCTCTAGTCCGTTTAAATCAGAAAAGACAGTTTAAAAATAATCCCGCTCTAGTCCGTTTAAATCAGAATAGACAGTTTAAAAATATTCCCGCTCTAGTCCGTTTAAATCACAATAGACAGTTTAAAAATAATCCCGCTCTAGTCCGTTTAAATCAGAATAGACAGTTTAAAAATATTCCCGCTCTAGTCCGTTTAAATCAGAATAGACAGTTTAAAAATAATCCCGCTCTAGGTCGGTTAAAATCATAGGTTTAAATCAGTTTTCCGTTAACCTTAATGTATTGCGGGCCGCCTCGCGCCCCCTACCGGCAGAACCCGTCATGACCGCGTGAGTAAATACCGTTACGGCTCCGAGGCTTTCAGAAGCACAGAGCTGATCTGGATAAATAAGAGACTAAAGATGGCGACGGTGGAGGATTCATGGGGACAAATTCGGATCCAAAACTTCCCTTTGGAAAACTGAGTCCAGCGGTCCAGTCGCGCACTGAGAACCGCAAAACCCCGCGACACCGAGCTGAGACCCGCTTCCGTGTCTGTGGCTCCATTACGTGGTTTTTATGTAAACATTGTCGATTGCAGTAACCAAATAAAGCGGAATTTGGACTCGGATCATCCGAACCCACACCGAATCCAGCCGAGATGATCCCTGACTGAACACGCACCGAGTCCGTGTGTAAGTGTAGTTCGGTTCTGGTGCATGGAGGCCGCTGGAGGGAGTCTGCCCGCCCCGGTGTCGCAGTGATTTGGGTCAGAACACCGGATCGTGATGTATTTTCTGAGCGGCTGGCCGCGGAGGCTCCTCTGCCCGCTCCGGAGCGGCGAACGGCCCTTTCTGGTCGAGCCCAGCGCGCAACGCTTCTTCCTAGCCGTGCTGTCCGAGACCCAGATCAGCATCTGGTTCAGCAGGGTAAGAAACACATCTAACTCTTACATAACTCAGTCATTAGATGTTTTAATGCTGGTGCCGTGGCTTAGTGGGTAACCTGAAGGTTGTAGGTTTGAATCCCAGAAATGTCAAAACTCCCCTAGATCAGCAGGTCTTTAAATGTAAGCTGCTGTGGCTTAGTGGTTAAAGTGGCTGCTAACCTGAAGGTTTTAGGTTTAAACAGATTGTACATCTAACTCATTAAGGTACTGGAATGATGGGTGATGTGGCTTAGTGGTAAAGGATCAGGGATGGTGATGGAAAGGTTCGAACTTCAGAATGGATCCCATACAGCAACATAGTGTCGGCCCAGATCCGGCCGTCATCTGGCCCACATCTGGCCGGGTCTGGGCCGACACCGTCTGGGATTATTCATAGGAATTGGCTTTAGTAGGGTAATACAATTTAAATTGACTTTATACCAGTGGGTATAATGCTGGATGTTGGGTATTTCAATGATCCAGTTAATCCTACAGTGTTTAGTGGAGTTAACTAGTGGTTGAAGACTAAGATCTATCATCTAGTGAAACACTTTGTGTGTGGTCTAAAGGCAGTTAACCCAGTGGTTGTAGGTTCGAACCCCTAGAGGAATCATGTTTCAAGTCTGTTTACTCAAAGTCTATAGGTTTAAATCCCAAAGGGTTGATTCGTGTGAATCGGATTCAGTAGTGGGTGCTGTGGTTTAGTGGTAAATGATCTTGGCTGGTTACGCAACGGTTGCGAGTTCTAGTCAATAATACAATTATTCCTGTCAACATTGAACATCTGGTTCCTCAATGTCAAAAATAACCCAATAGCGGTCTCGGTATCAGCGCTAAAGGGCTAATATGGGTGCTGTGGTTTAGTGGTTATTGGGTTCTGTGCTGTTGATACTTATAGGTTTGAGCCTCATGAGCGTCTGGTTCCATTTAGACTGAAATAAACAGACAAACGGCCTCATGATCAGAGGTTTTGAGTTCATGTATTCATAATGAATGATGTGGTTAAGGTTGAGGTCTGATGGCCTGAAGGTTTGAACCTGAGAAGGGTTTATTAATGAGTAACATCGAGTCGATCTGGAGTAGAGTTTCTAGTGGGGTTATGTTAGTTGTTTGATCTAGTGCTTAAAGTGCTGATAATCTAAAGATTGAAATGTTTGATTTATGTTATAGCATTAAATGCACAATAACCAGGTTTATCAATAATATTTCAATTTTTCAATTTCAAATGAGCTTTATTGGCATGACGGTGTATCACAATGTTGCCAAAGCATTACTCTATTATATATAAAACAAACAAACAAAACATATATGTATAGATCATGCCATAGCATAGTAACTTAATAAATACAATCCATCTTAATAAATGAATACATAAAGCTGGTCACTCTAGAGAGTTAAACGTGTCAATCCATCCTATTGGTTTAACTTTAACCAATCTCATACATTTGAACTAATTCAATCTTGCTTGTTAGTCACATTTAAACCTGTTCAAACTTTTTAGCAGATTGAATCTGTTTTTACAAATAATGCTGATGTGAAGGAGTTTGAATAAGTGAAATGAGTATTTGAATCAAATCAAGTAGAGGCAAATAATAGATTATAGGATTTGTTTGTTCCAGTGAGTGTGTGGTGTGTGTTGTTGATGGCAGGATTGGTTTGTTCCAGTGTGTGTGTGTGTTTGGTGTGTGTTGTTGATGGCAGGATTTGTTTGTTCCAGTGTGTGTGTGTGTGTGGTGTGTGTTGTTGATGGCAGGATTGGTTTGTTCCAGTGTGTGTGTGTGTGTGGTGTGTGTTGTTGATGGCAGGATTTGTTTGTTCCAGTGTGTGTGTGTGTGTGTGGTGTGTGTTGTTGATGGCAGGATTTTTTTGTTCCAGTGAATGTGTGTGGTTTGTGTTGTTGATGGCAGGATTGGTTTGTTCCAGTGTGTGTGTGTGGTGTGTGTTGATGGCAGGATTTGTTTGTTCCAGTGTGTGTGTGTGGTTTGTGTTGTTGATGGCAGGATTTGTTTGTTCCAGTGTGTGTGTGTGGTGTGTGTTGTTGACCGCCGTCACCTCAGACGTCAGCAGGTTTCGACGGTTGTTGATCACTGGTTGAAGTGCAGAGATTCCCCCAGAGTTCACAACATCTCCTGTGAGTTTTCAGTTTCACTTTGAGGTGTTGTGTTGAACATCAGCGCTGGGAGGATCTCTGAGACTCTCACCTGTGTGTCGTCCTGAAGACCCAGACGCTCCGTCCGGAGAGATAGACAGGCAGAGAGATAGACAGGCAGAGAGATAGACAGGCAGAGAGATAGACAGGCAGAGAGATAGACAGGCAGAGAGATAGACAGGCAGAGAGATAGACAGGCAGAGAGATAGACAGAAAGGCAGAGAGATAGACAGAAAGGCAGATAGATAGACAGAAAGGCAGAGAGATAGACAGAAAGGCAGAGAGATAGACAGAAAGGCAGAGAGATAGACAGAAAGGCAGAGAGATAGACAGAAAGGCAGAGAGATAGACAGAAAGGCAGAGAGATAGACAGAAAGGCAGAGAGATAGACAGAAAGGCAGAGAGATAGACAGAAAGGCAGAGAGATAGACAGAAAGGCAGAGAGATAGACAGAAAGGCAGAGAGATAGACAGAAAGGCAGAGAGATAGACAGAAAGGCAGAGAGATAGACAGAAAGGCAGAGAGATAGACAGAAAGGCAGAGAGATAGACAGAAAGGCAGAGAGATAGACAGAAAGGCAGAGAGATAGACAGAAAGGCAGATAGACAGGCAGAGAGACAGACAGAAAGGCAGAGAGATAGACAGAAAGACAGATAGACAGGCAGAGAGATAGACAGGCAGAGAGATAGACAGGCAGAGAGATAGACAGGCAGAGAGATAGACAGGCAGAGAGATAGACAGAAAGACCGATAGACAGAAAGACCGATAGACAGGCAGAGAGATAGACAGGCAGAGAGATAGACAGGCAGAGAGATAGACAGGCAGAGAGATAGACAGGCAGAGAGATAGACAGGCAGAGAGATAGACAGGCAGACAGATAGACAGAAAGACAGATAGACAGAAAGACAGATAGACAGGCAGAGATATAGACAGACAGGCAGACAGACAGACAGGCCGAGATATAGACAGACAGGCAGAGAGATAGACAGACAGGCAGAGAGATAGACACTAGACAGACAGACAGACACAGAAAGGCAGATAGACAGAAAGGCATATAGACAGGCAGAGAGATAGACAGGCAGAGAGATAGACAGGCAGAGAGATAGACAGGCAGAGAGATAGACAGGCAGAGAGATAGACAGGCAGAGATATAGACAGACAGGCAGACAGACAGACAGGCCGAGATATAGACAGACAGGCAGAGAGATAGACACTAGACAGACAGACAGACACAGAAAGGCAGATAGACAGAAAGGCATATAGACAGACAGAAAGATAGATGGATGGATAGACAGACGGACGGACATATAGATAGATAGACGGATGGATGGATGGACAGACAGACAGACAGAGAGATAGACAGACAGACAGACAGGCAGAGATATAGACAGAAAGACAGATAGATAGACAGAAAGCGTGTGTAATACTCTGTTATTGTTATTTTTATACCCAAATAAATGAGTTTGGCCTCTCTGACCAGATCTGCTTTTGATTGACACTTCCTAATTAGAACTTTATTTATGTATATTGTATGGAATATAATTGTGGAATTGTGTTCTGCTGCTTTTAATGTAGAAATTGTTCTGTAAAAGCAGCAGGACACTGTGTTATAGTGGAAACAGTCCCACAATGCTCATTGTTTAGTTCAGTTCCTGAGTAAGTCCCGTTACTGTTGTACAGATTTAGTAGACTCTGTTGATGTTACATTTATATACGCATAGATCGTGACTGATGATAATCCTGGGAAATACTTCCAGGTGATCCTATACTTCCCACCCCTCCCTGTGCCTTCCTGCCGTTCCCTCCTCGCTGTTCTGGACGGAGTGTGTAGAGTTCCTCAGACGAGCCCGGGAAACAACGGAATGTGTCTGGAATGTGTGTGTGTGTTTAAAACAAACTCTTCCTCTCCAGCTGTGTGACTCCACCTTCACACACACACACACACACACACACACACACACACACGTCGTCAGTAGTGCTGAAGTCATGCATATCAAAGCGACTGGCCTCAACACGTTTGCACACGCACACACACACACACACACACACACACGCGCTGCCGTCTCGTCTCAGCGTCTTTAACACTGAAGTGTTTCCTGATCTGCTTCCTGTAACCTGAATTAAAGGATATTTCTCCCAGAAATCATCATTTACTCATGTGTGACTTTGTGTCTGTCTGCTGTGGAACATAAAAGAAGATATTCGGAAGAACCTTTGGAACCAAACAACATTGATCCCCAACTTTTTATTATTTGAACAAAATTTTTTTATTTTTTTAATGTACCACAGCAGAAAGAAAAAGTCATACAGGTTTAAAACAACATGAGCGAATGATTATGTTCAGTAGAGTTGGCTTTTACTTCTAATGTTCAGTGTTTTTGTAAGAGTGTCCAAACTCAGTTCAACATGTCTTACCATGTTTTTGTTAATTCCACAGGTTTTCCCTTCGGCTTTTGCTCTGCCTTATTCATCATTTATGAGTTGCTTTGAATAAAAGCGTTTGCTGAGTGAATAACCGTAAATGTAGATCACGGCAGAAATGCACAAAAACTCTGTGGTTTCCATTTTGACGTGTGTGTGTTTTATCTGTATATGTTTGCACGCAACGCTTCTTGTTTTGAAACTCTTTAAACTATAGTTTTGTCTCTTCCAGCGCTGGTTCCTCATTTAATGGACTATAATGAAATGGAGATAATTAGATGATATTTAATGAAATGGAGATAATTAATGTTTTATTGCACAGAGACACACAACGCTTCTGTTTGATTACGATACACACCCCTGGTGTGGTTAGGACGTTTTCAGGTTCATTTTTAAACGCATGTGCAATCAGATCTAATCCTAAACTTCTT